ACCCAGACGATCAAACTACACCATTGCTTTAGGATTTTTTTTCAATCGGAGTGCAACATTCCCTCCCGTAAAAAAGGACTTTAGATACGCTTGGTAGAGTGTAAACCGATTTTTCTGGATTTTCGTCGAGAATTTACCTTACTTTCATTTTACCATAGTTATGATGTCTCCAGATACCAATAGACTACGAGAAACGATTTTGGTGAATCATACAAATCACACAATGAATGGAGCTCGATAGCTTGTTTTGTTCTTTTTTCAATCTTTTTTACATGATCTTACATATAAAAAGTTGTGTATCCTTGTCTGCGGTTGTATGAGTTTGCGTGTGTACACTTACATTAATTAAGTATAAAGGACGAGGTGGCCGAGTGGTTAAGGCGTTGAACTGCTAATCCCATCCTCATCGTATTCTTTTATATAATTTATATGGCTGGCCAAATTGTCATAGTTTTGTCTGCAGCGTCGTATCTGTTTTAGGATGCTATCTACTACTTAGTTAAGTTGAATTTTTTTTTTGTCAAACGGATCTCGCAAGTTTTTTCACTGCAGATCATCCAAAAGAAACTTTGCAATGTTTACCTTCCAAGGGCACTAAGTGATTCAGAGCATCTCTAACGGTGTACTTAATTAAGGGAGAGAAAGCTTTAAGTTGGTGTCACAAATATCGCTGAACATGAGTCATAAGATTTCTGATGAGAGCTTGTGACTTCTGCTCCACCTTTACCGATATGATACCATTCTAATTGCCACGGCGGCTAAAATGTGCAGCTTTAGTCGGCAATTCTTTTTCTTTTAATTTCGAAAATCATGTAGAAAGCTGTATTGTTTTAATAAGTAAGTCCCTACAGTCAGGTAACATTGCATGTTCCCTGAAATAGCTACGACCAAAATAAGATCAGCGATTTCTCCTGGAAGCCTTCGCAAGGGGACAAGCTTCACTCAAGAGGGATGGGAATTGTACCATCGGACAACAGGAGTTATCAGCGAGGGTGAAATTCCGAGGCTGCTTGAGCCCAACGCTTTAAGAGGAAAGTAACTATGGCTGAAGTTCGAAAAAGAGACTGTGTATGACAGATAAAAAGCTTGGGCATGACTAAAACGTTGGTGGATAATCAGGAGAAAGGAATGTAGAAGAGGCTATTGGAAACTGAGATCAGAGAGCTTAAAAAAGACGTGAGCAGAATATAATTGAGAAGGAAGGCAAGGGCTTAAGAATAACATATGAAGGATTTGGAGGGAAAATATATAAAGCTTGAAGAAAAAGACCTTAACATGATTTACAAGATTTTGAAAAATGACAAGAACGAATTATGGTTAAAGCGACGAAAATAATAGTTTCTAAGATAGAAAATTAATGTTCAAGCAAAACAGGGTCTTTAAGAAAGATTAGGGAAGACTTCTTGGGCTGTTAGACGCCACTGACGAGGCTCCCAATTTAGATGCGAAAATCAAATTCTGGAGTGGTCTATTGAGCAAAACTAGGAGCATAAGGGAGACGGGGAACAGTTGAAGAAACTAAAACGAGAACGTTGGCTAACTAAGCAAAATAACTTGCGTTGTCTTAAGCCATTGTCGGCTTACCGAACTTTCGGCTAAAAATTTCATTAGCTTACACCTCGCATGGCCCAGCAATCTTTACTCTCAAAAAAAGAACACGTCGTTTGTTTGAGTATCATAACCTCAAGACGCTGCATAAAACAAAATGGTATGAATTCTACTGTCGTTTATCTCAGTTTATATTTTATCAACCTCTTAACAACGTTTTTAACGAAACATGCCGGGAGCCTAGTAAGCATCTCAGTAAGCAAAATGTTTGGATTTCAGCCCGAAAAACTAGATCGACTACAACAGGTCGAGGTTTTATAGCAAATTTTTCGCGTACAAAGTATGCACGACCAAACATGGTTTTTTCCGTGGCTCAACTTTTCTTTTCGACTTTCCCCTCCTTTCAGACGTTGCTTCTGGTAAAGCTTTTGGATAAGACTTCATAAAAACAGCAGAAGTAACTCAGTCAGAAGTTGACGTTTTATTTTTTTCAAGTTTATTCAAAGCATTGAAAATTTCTTCCCAGCTACAGGAGGAAAAGTGGAACTCGCAAGTGGGTTTCAATTGCTTGTTGGTTCGGAATCTAAGGTTGGTTTTCGAATAAAATGACATAATAACTGAGTTTTAAAATCAGTGGAGCACTGAAAAAAAGGTTCAGCCTCTTGATAATAAGGTAGTCGTGTTGACTAGGTAGTCGTACTGACTCTACGTTGACTTTACTCTATGTGCACGGCTCGTGCAAATGGTAAAGTTCAATTTTCTTTTCTAACAATTATGCAAATCATATCGTTCATGATATATGATCGTGTTCGTAAAACTTCATGCGGAATGTTAATGCCAAAATCAAATCGTTCGTCTTCCATAGGTTTGGTAACACGTTCTTTCCTCTTCTCAAAGTCCAAAACATCTGATAAATCCTTCCTTTTATCTTTGCATGGGTTTTGATCGATCAGCGAAAGGCGCACTTTTTCAAGAAATGGCCAGGATAACAACGAATCAAATTTTCCTGGAACAATCCTGATATAAAGAGACAAGAAACGTTCTTTGTGATATAGTACTAGTTTGATACGCGATTTGTAGCCATTCTCGGACAAATAAAATTTTTCGCTTAGTAAAATGTTTTGGGGGTGAAATCCTCTGTTTGCTCTGTTTAACACGGCTTGGAAGTTGGAGATTTTCCATACAAAAGGAGCACACTTCCTTGCCATCATTCTGAGCCTTTCTATCTGCTGTGTTTGTTCTTGAACCTTTTTCATCAATTGCTCCATCTCCCTACACTTCTCCTCATCTCTGTCAATTAGCTGTTCAATCTGCTTTGTCTTCTCAACATCTCTGGCAATCAATCGCTCTATCTGCTTTGATTTCTCTAGATCTTCGGTCTTCAGTCGCTCCATCTGCTGTGACGTTTCTTCAAAATTGGCCATCACTTGCTCCATCTTCTGTACCTGACAGTTCAGATGGCTAACGAGCTCCTGAGTGACTTTCAGTTTGCGAACAGCCAAGTTCAAATGTCCTTCAACTTGGGTTTCTGAGTGAGACTTGGCGTTTGGTCTTAGGAACTGCGAGCACAGAAAGAGATATATCAGTCTTTGCACAGGACTAGGAGCTTTGCGAGATTATAATCTCACCAACTTCTGTAATTCTAAACGAATCGTATAGGTCCGAGATTCTGATCACCAATGTTTTTAGAAACCTAATCCTCGATTAACTTTTTCACACACAAAAAGGATGATAAGGCCGAACAAAATGAAATGCGATCAAATGAAATGAAATGAGATTGAACGAGAAAAGAAAACAAAAGCGATGCAAAAACGGAAAAGCCTTTCCATGAAGTCTGGATTAGTTCTGATCGTATCTCAAACAATTATGCTCTGCCCTGGACATATACCTGTGCCACGTCTCTACCTCTCAGCCTCGTTGATCTCTCAACTTTATAGGATCGTTACCACCCTCTTTTAATAACTTTTCTACAAAAATACCGGCCATGCTATACAACAGAACACTCCTCAATGCTAACTACCAGAATTAGAGGTATTTAAAATTGCTCATACCACAGCCGCACATCCTAAGTGCTTGTATTCGCAGTCAACTTCAGTTTTGGGACATTCATCACGAATGTGAACCTCGAGCTATAAACGACAAGAAATCCCATTGTTACGAACAAATGATACAGGCACCCCTCATGTAAAAAGTGAAACACAAACTATGTCTTACTAACATCTGTAATATTTTTAATAATCATATCTCTTTTAACTTTTAAGGGAATCAAACTCTTTTAATTCCTATATGTAACGCTGTTACATACGGAAAATATTCTTTACGTTATCTTGGGCCTTGATTATGGGGAAAACTATCGAAGGATGTTAGAATTGCAGAATAGAAGATTTCTAAATACCTTTAAAAACAGGATTGGTAAGTGCGATATAGTTTCACTGATGAATGATAACTGTAAGGGCTTCTCGCTCTGCTCTTCAAAATTAACATAATTTTATCACTTTTACATAAATCAAACTTTATAGCGATTTTTCTGACCTATCAGATCATAATCAGATATCTGTAGCCCATTAGATTAGTATAATTAGTGATAGATTTTACATTATTAGTATCATCGTTATTATGATTATTATTACTTTAGCTTTAAAATTACCTAATTTGTCAGTTTATTTTGTGGCATGTGTCAGCAGAGTAGTATGGGTTTTTCCCAGGCTACAAGTCATGAATTATTAACAAAATTTATCAAACAGTTTATCTATCTATCTATTTATCTACAGGTGACAGCATCACAAGGTGAAAGATCATGCAAGCATAGCTGATAAACCTTTTTTCGGGGAATTTCTCTTAAGCCGCAATTGTTACTGCACTTGACTGGAAACAAGGAACAATGATCAAAATGTTTCTGGAAAAGAAGAGACAATATAAGATTCCATTTTTTGACACGACACTACCTCGAGGGCCGAAAAAGTATTGGCAGGCTAGCAATAATATTAAATTTACACTGTAAGTGTACATATATTTTTTTAATTCGAAATCTTCAACTCGATCGATTGCACGACGTCGTGAGTTTTAAGCTCGTATAACAAAAAATGAATTTCTCAAAGGAGTATATTCCAAACGAAGGATTACTAATTTTAAGCGTAACTTACCGGTTTGTTGTTGAAGATAAGTAACTCTTGACAATATTCACAACGTATTATTCTCCACAAACATCGGGATTCCACGTGTGAGCCCATGTCTTTCTTTAGGAGCTTTTCTGTACATTCTGAGTTTGGACACTGCACTTCTATGTATACGCATTCTGCTTGATGATTCTGGAAATCATGAAAAAACAGGACAGGTTGACGTTTTGCAAATTCAAATGGCATTGAAGCCTTATATTAAAGTTTAGTTTTCGGCCCTAATACAAAATTATTGTACTGCCACAGGTGGAAAAATAGTAACAAAATAAATCACTGAACTTTTCTACAATCCATGTCTTATTGGACAGTTTTGCACATTTGAGAGATATTTATTCTCTGAAACTTCCGAGATCTTCAGCATAATTATTAGTGATACTAGGATATGTCTAGAGCTTTTTTCGTCACCCCACCACCTGCCAATGAGGAAGAACGTCAATCTAAGGTTTCCACCTCAATACCGCCGCAGGGGATAGAGCACAAAAAGGAACTAGCTAAAGATCCCGGCATTTCTTTTTTTTTTCTGTCTTTTTAAAACTGAAGTAAAAAGGCTCCTTATCAATCAGTCACTTCGAAAATTTTTTGCAGAAGTGATGTTGAACTTAGAAAGTCTAAGAAACTCTTAGACTGATCCATGATCAAATATTCTGAATTAGAGAATTGCAAATCCTCAGAACCCTTAGCATAATATTCATGAGGGGTATGGGGGAATACCTCTACATATCGAAGTTCGCCTGTCCATGGACATCCACTTTTAGAACACTTCACGAACATGTTCAGGATTTTTCGACCACAAGCAGTATCTTGAAATATCTGTCATATGGAATATTCCAGAATTATTTACAGCTCAGCAGTCTTAGGAAACTCGCGGTCCCATTTGCTAGCATCCTTAAATCCAGATCACGAGCCCCGGTATCCTTCTTCCCACCCCCATCACCCCAACCCTCCTTTAGGGTATAAATGATAAATGAGAACCAAGAAACCGTCATTAAAACTTGACGAACTGTTAGTCAAGAAAGGTTATTTAATTAAAATTTACCCTAGGGATACTTTCCTGATTTAATTCACTGGTTTGCACCTTAAGTGCGAGGCTTGGCGGTAAATTGGATACTCCGCTGAAAACGCGTTTGCGATGCCTGTTCAGATAGCCAATTGCACCTCTGGGTTACTAACCCTATTTTGCGTGACTGCTGACTAACCTTATTGCGTGACAATGGTTGCCCGTCTACTGGACACGATGGCGACGGCGGTCTGACAGACAAAGGAGAAACAAAGAAAGATAATCGGTGGAATGTTTTACTACGTAGACATCACTGATCGGTGTTCCCTTTAGTAACCCTGGGGGGGTGTTATGAAAATTTCGTCCCAAAAGCATGAAAACCACGCAGCAAACACGAAAACTAAGATATTGCCAGTGATAGGAATTCGACGACGCGGACAGAATAACAAAATAATTGACATCACGCCAGCATTCGAATCACGACGTACTTGATAAGTACCAAGTACCAAAGAAACCAATTGCTAACATGATCTAACATGCTGAGAAGGCTGTTATGTTATGATAGAGTGGTAACCAATTACCGAAGGAGTGATTCCACGCAGATGCTACAAAATCTGTGTCCACATTGAACGCTCTGTACAGGATCCTTGATCGGTAAACAACACTTAGGACACCTAAATTCCTCTGGAACATCGCTTGTAAACTCGTAATCGTACCCGCCAAGTTTTGGTTCATTGTCTGTCGCCGCCATTATAGTACTGCTTTTCGAAATGAAGCAGGAAGTGTATTCAATCCTACGTGACACAAAAGTGAAAAATATCATCTCTGTCTTTCCCAGGGTTTCTCGTTAGGGTAAGAAGAGAGATCCTGCACCCGAGGTCATATGTATTGTACGGGGTACATTATAGGAACAATACTCCTCTCAGTATGGGTTTCACCAGAGATGTATGGACTCATCGCTTACACTACTGTACCATCAGCCTTTTTGTCGACGAACCACTGTTGGGCGATGTTTCATTTTATATAAGAAGGTCGAATTTACTGACGATGTACAGCAGCTTCCGAGCGACGTATGTACATCGTCAAAGGGAAGAGGGAGCTAATTGCACAATTTACAAAATGCTAACGACTCTTTAAAATTTCTGTGTTTTGTAATGATGAGGTAAAGAGAAAGCAGTCTTTAATCTCATTTCCAAACAGTAATTTGGCCTTTGCGAGCAAATCGGTTTTGACAGGAGCCCATGGGCTCCTGGTTTTGATGAATATCGAATGTCACGATTAAGAGTATCGATTTAAGAGATAATTTTTTGCTCTAAACTTTTGCAGCTTTCTGAACCGTCTAGATGAAAGGAAAGGTCGCAGACTTCCATAAATCAGGCTTAGCAAGATTGGGAAGATTAAAGTATCTAGCGACAGGTTTGGATGCGTCTTAGTCATTCCTCTCTTAGTCGCGAAGGTGTTCCCGGAATCTCGGTGTCGCTTGATCGTTTTTCTGTTTTGCTGATGTATACCTTACAGCAATCAGTGCAATTGGTGACTCTGGTGGAGGTACAGGCCTAGGGGAAATGATCAGTGATCTCAATGGATCACTTTATCAGTGTTGAATGAAGGACAAGTTTTGCATCGTGCGCCTGCGCATTTTAATTTTCCGCGCTGATCATTTGTTTGGAGTGCACTTCAGACCAAAGTTGATTATGTTTTAGTCGTGTTTGAATGGATTCAGCAGAGGTTGCGAAAAGATCAAACCAGTCCCGGATCAATTTGAAGTAATTTGAAGTCTTCTAGAATGATAGATTCCACTGCGTGAAAGTGAGGGTGAGTGGAATTCAATCATTCTTTTCTTTCTGTGACGTCTGTGGTGCTGAATGTCAATCAATTTTTTGGGTTCAGCGATGGCCTACTTAAACAACAGAAGCAAGATAACCATGTTTTTCAAAAATGTGCCATTTTTCATGAAATGTGACTATCCTGCTTCTGTCTGGAATCGATGGTGAAGACTGAAATGCGTTTGTCTTCAATAAGGTAAGAACTAGTCACAATGGTATTGTATTAATTTCACCAAATTAACAAATACGTGCAAATCCACGAGATCTCGTGCTACACCTTGCTAGCCATTACAAAAATTGCATTATTTTTAACATATGCCCCGTTTCGCAAAACGCCTTGAGAAACAAACTCGGGACAGCCAATTCCTTCACCTCTTCCGCTTAAAGGTCGAGGACATTCTTGTTTGCTCAAGTCAATAACAGTCGATATGTTTTTTTTCTTATCCTGACTCCGGTTTTGATCAATAATTGTCAGCCGTATTTTCTCCCTGCACGGCCACGATAGTAAGGAATCAAATTCACCAGGAACAACTTTAACAAAGAGCGACAACCAAAGTCCCTTATATGAATTATCTGCAACAAGATCTGACGCAGCTGCACCTCCGTTTGGCATCATTTTGATTTGATATCGATACCCGTTTTTAATCAAATAAAAGGGTTCACTTAGAATGACTTCTTGTTTCCCAGAACATGCTCGCTCGTAAACAGCTTGAAAATTAGTTATTGTCCAAACAAAGAGAGAGCATTCAGTTGCTCCCTTCCGCTTTGCTATTGGTTGAGAGCGATCACTGTCCTTTGACACGCCCTTTTCTAGTCCTTCTATCTTCTTTGACCGATCCTTCACCATACTAACCAGAGCACGAACTCGATGGCGCGTGGCTTCGAGACCAAGAAGAGCTATGTTGAGATGAAATTCAACGTTGGATTCCAAGTGCGACTTGGTATTTGATCGTGGGAACTGCAAAAAAGAAAGAATAATGGGCTAACTTTTAACTCTCAGAAATGATAAACACGTAGATTTTCTGTACAATATCAAAAGTTTAATAAAGAAGCGATGAGGTTATGAAAACTTATCAGTTGGAAAGTGCATTATCTGAAAAAATATGATGATACAAACATACCTTTGCTTCACATCCTAAATTCTTGAATTCACAATAAACCTCAGTATTAGGACATTCGTCACGACTGTGAACCTCCAACTGGAAATAAAACAGATATTAGCAAAGGAATGAAATGTGATTATGTTAATTTGGGCAATAAAATCTCAGGTCATAGACATCCAAATCCGTGTCAGTTACCTAGAGAAGGTATCTTCGGAACAGCTACCACTTTCATAATGTTTCCCTTAGGGATGGCAATATCAATTCATTTTTGTCACATCGAAAAAATAGATTGCCCAGTGGTGGATGGAAGGGTAAGTGTCGCAAATGTACTTGATCATTTGTAAATTGATATAACTTCTTAGGTTTATTTCAGGGTTAGTGTATAACGCACTCGGTATCTTCACCACTGGTTGAATCAACACAAATTTCAGCTGTTTGGTAGAATGAAAAACGTGGTCGTTTAAGTTTGAAATCGTTCTCAATTCCCTAGAGAGCCGACTGAGTTTTTTCAAATTTTAAGTAATAGTTCTGATGGAAATTATAGTGGACTTCGAATCTAGCGCTTAAAGGTGGAACCCAAATCGAGAAAATCGTGATGTGATCGAATGGGCAAGAAAGTTTACACTGGCAATGCTTGTCTCCGGCTAGTAAAACAAGGTACCGGCGTAGCTTCTCAAGCATGACTTCCACAAAAATAAACCTCATTCTATCCAATTAAAAACTAACTTTGTCGATCCTCAGGCCTTCGTGTATGAGGTGCGCTATAAAATCTGCATCATAATTATCTTCCTTCTCCTGAAGAACGAAAGGAGCAAACCTTATCTCGTGGGATATCAGTTAATCCGCACTTGTTGGTACATTGAACAGGAACCCTCTGGCAAACATCAAAATGTTCCTGGTACAGGACAAAAACCACAATGATATATAGATTTACAAATAGGCTACCCTGCGTCCACTTAGTAAAACGGAACAAAATAGCTGAAACGGCGCCATTGTAAAGGAGGAGTGAAAAAGCGAGGGAGGTTTGGGGTGGGTACCCGACCCGACCCAAGCCTCCCTTATTTTTTCACCCCTCCGCTGCTAAATGTTCA